TCGTTGATTGAAATAAGCCTATTCAACATATGAGGTAATTTTGGATTTTATTGTGTACTAATTATTTGCTATGTAATGATAAATACATTGAGCTCTTTTTGTGGATCAGTTTTAATATTTTTATATTACTTGTATTATATACCAACAGATTTATTACCTTTTATATATATATATATATATATATATATATATATATATATATATATATATAAGAGTTCTCATGTTTCAAAAACAGAAACTAAAAACTTCAATTTAATTATAGAAATTAAATTGAATTAAAGTAACCCAGCCTTGTTTCATCCTCAAGTGAATTTTGGAATAACTGATCTTGAAATTTACGGAGCTTTATAAGCATATACATTCGTAATATTACTTACTATGGAAACGGCGAAACCAATTATTTTAATAAGGGACGTAAAGGTTTACATTTTCACTGACAACTATTGTATCAACATATTAGTTACATTCAGGAAGAGGTTAAGTCAAGGTAGGGTCAGGGTGACTATTTTCAAGCGAATGATGACATCCGTTTGATGCATATTGTTTGGCCTATTTCAATGACAGAGAGTTATTGGCATTTTTGTTACGCCATTAAATTCATATTTGTATACCTAAAGATTTTTTTCTAAAAGGGTTGTTTGTATATAAATACATCGTATTGAACTACAATTTGTTTTTTTGATGACTTCATAAAGGTTTTTTATCTTATGATTTGGTTAACCGTTAACTCATGTCTATGATTTAATAATTTTTTGTTTTTTAGAAACTTAATAATGTGTAGTTTTTCATGTAGGCATAAAGGGCATGGGTCATTCCAGGTTTTACAAGCTCTTGTTCTATTTATTATTTTCCATTTTATTTTTGGTGTTTTATTCATTTCTTCTAAATGCCAAATGTATTTAGATAGGGATGTTTGATTTCTATTTCTAATATTATTGAAGGAGCTTTTGTGTTGTTTCCACCTAATTTTAAATTCATTCTTCATGGATCCTATATATATCATTTCAATGTTAGGACTCTCAATGAATCAGATTGTGCATTGGTATACCACAGATTCTATGTGGGTTTCTACAATCGCATAATTTTTCATTATTTTTGCCTAATTTTAGTTTAGGGTTTTTATTAATTATATTTTTGTATGCATGTTTTTCCAGGATTTTGTTATTATGTTATTTTATGATTCTTTCTAGATTTTCAGTGCAGCTGTAGCTTAATTTTAAGGTGTTTTTATTAAAGATCTTGCTAAGTTTGCTATCAGTAGGAAAGTGTTTTTCAATTAAAGCTAGGAATTTTTGTCCTAGCTTAATACTAACCATTTGGTTGAATGGAGGGGTATATCAAATGATTTTTCTTTTCCTGTTTTTCTTCTTGTTAGTACTATTGTTTTTATAATTGATGTTAGCATTTTTGTATCCATTATTTTTTTAGAGCTGTGTTGTAAATGTTACTGTGTTGTTGGAATATTTCTTCATTTGTGGAGTTCATGCTGATTCTCTTCTTTATTGATGAGGGTATATGCTTAATTGTAGATGGAGGGTGGTTTGACCTGGGGTGTACATACAAGGGGTTAGCATTAGTTTTTCTGTAAGGTAGTTATATGTTGTTCATTAAGTCCAAAGTTATATTGAGGAAGTTTACCCTTTTCAACTTTGTGTTGACTGTAGTTTTTAAATTTAGTTTTCTGAATTCACTATGTATTATCTTTCTAATTTTATCTATTTTAAAATTTGTGGAACTCATCACTACCATGAGCCCATCATCCCTGTGTAGCCCAATGTCCTTAATGTCTAATTCATAGTGCACTGTTAGGTTGTATAGTATAAACTGACAATATCAGAAGTCTCTGCAGGGTCTAAAAATCCCATGGTGATGTCAGAATGGTCTTCTGTGTTTTTAATTCATTGGTTCCCATTATGAATGAGGACAGATATTTTTGCATTAAGAATTATGTTCATTTCTTCTTCTGTTAGATCTGAATATACAGTATTCAAACTCAAGGGTAGTCGTGAATAGATCTCTTGATATTGACTGGTAATAATCCACGATATCGAACAGTATTAGGGTGAAATCAGGTATAATTTAGGCTCTACTTGTGTATTGAGCACTGTTTTTTAAAAATAAATAAAAACAAAAATACTAAAGAACTTCAGATTATTAAACTAACAGTTCTTTCCTATTTTTCTATATATTTGCACACACACACACACACACACACACATATATATATTTTTACAGCAAAAAAACAAAAATTACCTCAACATAGGGATAGTCTATTTCAAACCATTCTTCACACAGCTATCATCAGCCTCTAAGTCCTTGTCTCAGAGCATTGTTCTAAATTTATTTTCAAAGTCAGTCCTCCTCTAGTAGGTGCCTTGTTAATGAGAGTGGATTTGTATTAGCAATTGGTGGAACGTAAGGTATCTTATCCTGGGGGAAGTGGTCTGGGTTTGCAGTTTATTTATGTCCAGGATTTTTGTTTGTAGTTTAATATCAGTTCCTACTATGTGGTGTTTCTTATAAAGGCCCCAGAGTGCGTTTTTCTGGGATTCACAGTAAATAGTTTTTGTACTACTAAGCAATGGGGGGATTTAAACTTAAGTCTGTTAAGATTAATGTAAATTAGTTGAGTTATAGATTTATAGATTGTAGTAATACCAGAGCACCCAATGGAATAACTCATGCTGTCCAACACATTTATATGCCTACATATCTTCATACATACATATATGTGTACATTTACATGTTCATATATATATGCCACTATACATATCCATACACCCCGACATATATGCATCTGTATTCTTATGTAATTTGGAATTTATTTGTATTTGTCATCCATATACAGGCCTGTTTTGCTGTATCACAGCTCATCAGTGTGGCTAGACATTAAACTGGGATCAAAACCTGACCAATATGGCATCAGTCAGAGTTTCTACCCCTAAGCTATCAGGGAAGAGAAATTCTTGTGTATTATTTTTACGAATGTAAACAAAAGCCAGACAGCCATGGTGCTCAAGTGCATCTGTATTCTTATGTAATTTGGAATTTATTTTTATGTCTACACCTGGATTATATACCAACAGATTGGTTACCTGTACTATATATATATATATATATATGTATATACATACATATACGTCATCCACATACAGGCCTGTTTTGCTGTATCACAGCTCATCAGTGCAGCTAGAAATTCGATTGCTTTAAGCGGGATCAAAACCCGACCAATATGGCATCAGTCAGAGTTCCTACCCCTAAGCTATCAGCGCATGACAGAGGGAAAGGGAAATTCTTGTGTATTATTTTTACGAATGCAAACAAATGCCAGACAGCCATAGTGCTTGATTCATTGAATGACGAGCATTGATTTAGCGGAGACTGCTGCTGTTTAGAATTACCCTCATGATAAAGAGGAAAGGAAAACAAGAACTTTTGGTTACAATTTTATATCATATCAAGTGAAGTGCTGATGATACAAGGACACTTATCTAAGTTTTGAAATTTTTGGCGTCTGATGTATCTTGATGCATAAACTAACTGAATCTCATTCAGCTTTTTATTGCCTTTGTTTTTAATAATAATTTTGTTATACCTGAACGTACCTATTCTATTATTAATAGACTCTCCCACACATAATAAGTAGTAGTAGTAGTAGTAGTAGCGGTTGCCAGTTGAACTCAGTGGAGTTGAGTGAGTCAGTCGATGTCGGACATTGAAGTATCAACAATCACAACTAGATTGCTGTGTCATTAACTCTTATTTCAAGTTCCTAACGTTTTGTACGTTGGACCCTTATAGGACTGCCTTAGCGAAATACAAGCCTCCACTGTGAAAACTACTCTACAAAAAATTCTAACAAACTATTACAATAGACCGCTTTACACTCCTCCAGGGTCTTTTCAGCAGCAGTAGAGCTTTATCCCTTGTTTCCTATTTGGGATTGGGTTTCTGGTTCCTTCCAATGACTTCTCATTCTCTTTAACTCCCAGCAGCCCCTTGTGTCACAGTGGGGTTATTGACTTGCTTATGGCAAATTGATTACAAAAAACAAAAAATACCAAAAAAAAACATTTCACTTGTATTTCCATCAAGTAACAAATAAGTTACACTTTATTATCATAACAGTACATGAAAAGACCACAAAATTAATTCTATTTGTGCTTGTTTTTTTTTTATTTTTTCGGTTGCTGACAGTCAATGATAACTGAAGATTTGGCAACCAAATCGCCAGGAGGAGCCTAAACAAAAAGCTTGCCTGAAAACTCCTTATCCAAAATTGTGGATACTCTGTAGTTTTAAATAAGTTAAGAAAATAATAAGTTTTCTTCCATTTATTTTTTTTTTTTACATTTTTGTTGTCCTTTCTTTTCATTTTTTTTAATAATAATTTTTTTTTAAATTGTTTTTGTTGTTAATATTTGTCATGGTTTTCCTAAAAGTCTTTTCATTATCATTATTGTCGTCTTTTTTATTTCATTTAAAAAGTAAAATTTACTTTTTATTTAAAAAAAAACAAATTCCCGTTTTTCGCTGAATTAGTTTATATGCAACTGACCTTGAGAATTTCAGATGAAAAAAAAAGATATCAGTTATTTGCAATATGAAATTCAGATGATCAGAGTCAGAATTTTAGTTCCAGTAAAAAAAAATGCATTTTCAAATCTTTACCATCTGTCCATGATTTTTTTTGTGTTTTTACAGACATGTAATTTGCATATATATATATATATATATATATATATGTATTTTTTCTTTTTTCTTTTGATTAAATATCTTATTTTAAAAGTTAAGTATTTTAGTCTTTAATTTTATTTCCGGTGCAAAACACAGTTATCTCCCTTTACTCGCATTGTTGCTTCATCTCGTCATAACCCATTAGACATCGCTAGACATCACTCACATTAAAAAGTTGTACTTCTTGTCTTCCGTAGTTCAACAAAGTTGATTATACGTTTATGTACAAAGTTGTATCCTTGCTATTACGATGTCATTTATAATCAGGGATGTGTCCAGGGTTCATCTTGGTATGGAGGTGGATCTCCTTGTGGAATCATGTTCTGCATATCCATTGGCATTGGTGGAGCTGCAACAGAAAATTAAAAGAATTTATTTTTAAAGAACTGCCAGAAACAATGAAAATTATGATGGCACATTCATTCAGTTTAGGAAATGAATAATGAAATTATTTTATAGATTAAAAAGATTGATGCTTGAGGACTGTAAGGAAAAAACAGAGAAACATTTAAACTTGTAGTGAAGCTTTATTAAATGTGATTTGACTATTGTCCATATATAAGATTTGGCCATTTCTTTTATAGTCAAGTAATTCTAGGGGCAGACAACTAGGATTGACTTCACCACAAATACTCAAGTTGGTTGTAGTGAATTTTCAGATTAATGTAGTGTTTCTCAACCTTTTTACCTTAGTGGAACCCGTGAAATAATTTTTGTGTCGCCAGGAACCCCCGCATAAAAATTATTATATAAAGGGTGTTCCAATAATTTGGACCAATTTTAAATGTGAATTAAGTTTAAGTGTCTAATGATTTTTTTTTTCTTTTTCTTTCAAATTTGACAGATATTTGGGCAATATTATTTTTCACACATAATTGCCATGACTTAAATAATATGATCCAATAGATCAATTACAATAAATAAATTTTTACCAATAACACTGATTTATTTACTGCTGACTTTGATCCGTCTTAATGAAACACCCTTATATATAATCCGTCTTAATGAAATACCCTTTAACATTATTAATATCTATTGCATTAATATTTTTATTGTAGTTCATGTGGTAAACATAATATATAGACACTGTGCATGTGGCCTGAACTCATGTGAATCACTCAATGATGCATGAATCCTCCATGTACTGATGCTGTCTACTAACAAGTGAAGGCAGTTTCACACTGATGCCATATAGACATCTCTAAATTCATCCCCTATCATTATTATAATTTAATTTTAAAGAATATAAGAGGTTGAAGCCTTTATTATAATAACCAAGGATTTTCCACCAATATGCTGTATATGTAAAGCAAAAAATACAATTTACACCAATAACATTGTTCAAACTGTTGTCCTCATCTTTGTCATATTCTATCCATCACATATATTGTTATAATTGTTCTATTTTATTATTAATTATTATTGTTAATCTCTTATTGTTTTTAATAAGATAGGAATGAATCTTCTTTCCATCACTTAGCTCTTATTGCAGTATGAAACCCTATAATAATTATCTATGAGTATTTATTTGTATATTTCCTGTCACATCTGTAGTGGAAAGGAAGTACAATCAGTTTAGGTTAGTATATTGTTATAATTGTTCTATTTTATTATGAATTATTTTTGTTCATCTCTTATTATTTTTAATAAGATATACAGTAAGAACGAATCTTCTATCCATCACTTAGCTCTTTTTACAGCATTAAACCATATAATAATTATCAACGTGTATTTATTTGTATGTTTCCTGTCACATCTGTAGTGGAAAGGGAGTTAAATCAATTTAAGTTAGTATATTGTTAGAATTGTTCTATTTTATTATTACTTATTGTTAATCTATTATTTTGTCTAAATTATAAATTAAACTTTATCATAGGTATGTCTGTATAGGAAATATCAGGCAATACTATCTAATGTTTCAAGCTACACAGTATCCTCCACACGTAAGAGGGTATAAAATTTTGTATTTTAGTAGTGTAAAATAATTAAAATTAATAATTAATTAAAAAGTGTAAACAAATAAATATTATAATAATCTAGGATTGTCTTGCATGTACTTTTGAGAGAAGTGTAAAGCCAGACATTTTATAAAAAATTGTTAGATTTGTCTGTGAACATTTCTATTTTTAGAATTGACAGTTAAAAAACTGCCAATTATTTCTTCTATGTGGGTTATTGGTGATTCCTTTTTTGAATTTGAAAAAATATGTAATATTTTATTTACTGACCAATCAGAGACATGGGCTCATGTCATAATTTGTTTAGCAGCATATAATAACCTGGAGACACTAAAATTATTTCACGGGTCCCACTAAGGCAAAAAGGTTGAGAAACACTACAGATCAGACTCCTTATGTCTCATTTAATACCAAAATTTAATTTTCTTGGTAGCATTAGTAATTTCTTTTACAAAAATATATTGTTGGTAATAATTTTTTTTTTTCAAAAATGAATTGCTGGCATTTTTTACTATAAAATATATTTTTATACTTTCATAGTGTTTTGACCCCAGTTTGGCAGTTAACTATTTGCCCATAGCTGCATGGTGGAGTAATGGATAGTGGCTTGGATTGAGAAATTGGAGAGCCGAGTTCAAATTCCAGTCAAATCCATTACATTCACTTATGTCCCAATACCCTTGGGAAAGGTACAAATCCTCTTCTTTTCCCCAAAGTTATGGGTAAATAGCAGAACAGACTGGGTTATATAGCCTTGGATGGCAACTGATTAACTGCAGAAAGAAATGGCAACCTACTGCTGGAAAAAATCTGCGTCATCAGTCATGTATAGAAAGATACATGATTGCCTAAGTGTGCATCATGCATGGCACATAACTGACTGACTGGGACCCTAACAGGTGCTACCATCCTGGGTGGACCTGGAAGCAGTTAAGAGATGTTTCCACACTCTTGAAAACCCCCTAATCAGAAGCCTTGCTGATGTAGCTTATCATCATACCCAGTTCATTCCCTTGTAAATTTTAAAATTAGGGTCTGTCACTGGTACCTCCTGTTTTCCTCTATAAAGAGACTGACCCACAGATAAAGGCAGAATGTAATGAGAATCCAAGGCAGATAGAAGTTTCAAAACAGAAGGGAGTGACTCTTTGGGGATGCAAAAGAAGGAAGGCTTTAAATCTTCTAAATTTAAACCAAGACAAACGGACACTAAAAGTTTACCCAGAAGGCAGATTAAGCACTAAGGAGGGATATCCATTTGGGCTGTTTCCTGAGGAGAATTTGTATAGGAATTGAAACCTGTTAAACAAAACAATTTTATAAAGGAAAAAATATAACAAGTCCCCATAAGTCTTTCAAAATTTATCTAAGCTCCCTTTGTGCTGAGAAATTCTTTTTGCCTTACAATTAGGTGGGTGCACCTATTGTATTTTCTTTTTGCCTTACAATTAGGTGGGTGCACCTATTGTATTTTCTTTTTGCCTTACAATTAGGTGGGTGCACCTATTGTATTTTCTTTTTGCCTTACAATTAGGTGGGTGCTCGTGCTTGATTCAAAAATTATACAATATACAGCAATCGCTATCACTTGACTTAAAATATTTTTGCCCTTCCTTGCCTTTAAAGGAGTGCTCTTTGCCGTGCTGATGTTGCTACATGCCTTACTTCTTGCCTATCTCACACTGCAAATTTTTTCTAAGCTCTATACTAAACATTAAATCTGTTACGAAAAAAGAACTAAACAAAATGAACACAAAACAACCAGCTTTAAAAAAGGACTTGTAACTGGAAAAACCAAATGAAAAAAGAATGTTAACAACAAATACTTTTTCACACCCAACCCAGTTCTGCAGAATCAGAATCAACGTTGAGTTTAAGCAAGCGAATGAGCCAAGTGGAGTAAAGTGCCATGCAGATTTAAATTTTTCCCACTTGTGACGAATGCAGCTATCGATTTTTTTTTGCATGCTAGCATGCTAGTTAACATTTGTGTCAGTCAGCTGTTGGCTCTCATGCTGGCCAATAGAATCTTCCTGCCTATTCATGGCAGCCAGCTATTGGCTCTCACTCTGGCCAGTAGAAAATGGCTGCAAACTACATGAAAACTGCCGTAGAAGCATGAAAAAATCGCTTATTTCCACTATCGATGGGAGTTGGGAAATGCAAAGTCAGTCTTGGCCTTCCTGCTAACTTGGAGCATGTGCATGTAAATTTTGGTGCAAATCCGTCGAAAATTGCAGCCATGCATTGATTACACACACACACACATCCTGCCTTTTATAGATAGAGTTAATAAATATTAGTTCTTTTAAAATTTGGCATAATGGTTGTGTCTTGTTTGTACTTTGTTCAACTTTCAGGATAAGAGAGGTTACATGCTCTTTTTTCCCATTCTATCCCTACAAAAATAATTTCTCATATATTTTGCACAAAAAATATTACGGTCATTGTGAAAATAAATTTTTATTAGGTTACTACTGTAATATTTTTCAAAATATGGTCCTTGAAAACATCTGCATACTTTCCAGGCATTTTTTTTTTGTATGAAACTCTTAACCTCAGCCACAATTCCATGGATTTTACAGCATTGAGTAAGAATTATAACTTGATGTTACTCCTTTCAAGAAATATGATTAAGGAAGCCACAATGTTTATCAATTTATTCAAAAATAGTACAAATTCCAATGATATTTACATAGATTAAATATGGCTGCCACTTTATGGCAATGATTGCTTACTTCAATTTGCAGGAAAGATTATCTGGAAATATCTGTGTATAAAAACTCACCTGATGGCATTGCTAATAAGTGCTGATTTGGGTAGGCCACTTGGGCATTATGGGGTGGAGCTGCAACCATTGTGTTTGGCGTATTCAACACCACCCCCCTCTGCCTACGTCTGGCCCAGCAACAGCAGATAAAACTCACAACAAGGATGACAAAAACAACAACAACAATGATTCCAACAACCATTACAATGGAATAGAGGAAACTTTTGATAGAACCATCAAGTAAGTCATCTGAAAAGGAAGAGAAATATTTATTTTATTAAAATCAAAAACATTAAATAAAAAGAAATATCAAGATTATTATTATGACTAACTGAGAGAACAGCAACTAAACAAAGTGACCCTGAGGTACAAAATACAAAAGCCCAATATACCCACCATGACACCCAATCCAATAAGGGTATAGCAAGGGTATTTCAGCCAAATGTGTGCAATGTAATAACAAGTTTTTATAAAACTAGTGTATAACCTTGCAGATGGGACCCAGTTAGAAATACCTTCATATCAGGCAAACCAGTCAGCTCAGACCACCTCTGACTGTGGGTGTTTCCAAGCACCTAGATGTGTCTCCCATTTCGCCTTGGCTGCCTCATCTTTTAAGCTTATAAAAGAAAATGCTCTTTACATTTGGGCATGATTCTCTGTCACTACTCTTATTCATTAACAGATATGATGTCTGCTCAGGCGGTTTACATTTAAGGGGCTTCCCAAGTATCTAGATGTGGGGGTCTAAGAATTTGTGTTTAGATGTGGAAGTCACCAGAGTGGGGGTTTACTTGTATACAGGTGGTTATCTTCGGATAACATCCATAATCCAAATATACACCAATTTATGGCCTTTAAAAGATAATTAATGCAAAGATACATATTGCATGTACTGATAAAAATTTCTCTCTCAAAATAAAATATATAATAATATTCAAAGTGTTCATAAGTTCCTATCAGATAGCTCTCATGTTGAAAGTCTTTTAGTCCTTAGCATATATATATATATATATATATATATATATATATATAAAAAAAAGGCTTAAACACTAATATTCCATGGTCATAATTTAAATATATATATATATATATATATATAATGTATATATATATATATATATATATATATATATATATATATATACCAGAACTAAATAGATCATTACACTACACGCAAAAGCACACAGGCACACATAGTGACCAAATACAGTGATCAAACCACTCACATACATGCACGCACGCTCACATGCGGGTGTTTGTGGGGTACGAATGTGTATATATATATATATATATATATATATATATATATATATATATATACACATATTGACAAAAGCAGGAGAACTACTCACCAGGCACACACAAAACCCCACACAACTTAGGAAGTATGTGTGTATGTGTCTACATATATATGTGTGTATGTATATGTGTGTGTATATACTGAGTCCAATGTAACTTGAGAAGTATGTGTATGTACGTATGTGTGTGTATGTATGCATTCCTTGTAATAGGATGGTGTGTGTTTGTGTATGTGTGTGTATATGTGGGTGTGGGTGTACAGATGTGTTCACTGATTCCTCGTAGTGAGACAGTGTGTATGTATGGAGAGGGGATATACACATATATACACGCATGCTGACAAAAGCACACAAAAATGGAAATAGATCTAAGAACACACAGGGGTCATTAAAAGATAAGAATGTCGATAACTACTTCATCATTTCTCGAACCAATTTTAATTGTTTTATAACCCTTCACGCTGAACTTTTCACTGTCAGTTGAAGAAAGACGTTTGAGTCACTAACACAAAAAAGGGAATGTCTTATATCGAGAAAATTTAATATCGAAAAACATAAAGAAAAAAATTAATTATTTTTAATAATATGTGGAAATGTCCACCCTTTGCCTGATGACGGTTGTGAGACCAGAAACTCGTGTAGCAAAATTATGAAAAATAAAGCATAATATTTTTTTAAAAAAAATACACATTACAACCAAAAACCTTTGTGGTTTCTCTCTTCATTTTAATATATATATATATATATATATATATATATATATATATATATATATATATATATATATAGTTAAATTCCCAGATGAATTCTGTGGACAAGACAGATCTTGGAAAAAAATCTTACAAAATTTTTAGTCAAGGCAAAAAATAAAAATTTAATTAAATAATTTTGTTTGTTGACATTTATTAAAAAAAAAAAAAAATAATAATATAATCAAATTTGGAAAAAAAAGATTTTTTTCCAATTGTCATTTGATACTATATATATATATATATATATATATATATATATATATACACACAAGTTAGGATAAATTCCAATAACCAAAAATACTATTCTTAAAAGAGTACACAATACAGAGTAGAGCAAATATTATTTATTTGAAAATTATAACATAAATATGTTATAAAATCACTACAAAAATAGCCATTTTGTTTCAACACTACTGTTGTCTTATCAAGTGATGTTGTTGAATGTAGAATAAAGAGTTTTAAAAGGTTCAAATCAACCAAACACTCCTCAATAACAGAAACGCTGTTACATAATATATATATGTATAGAGAGAGAGAGAGGAGAGAGCCTTTGTTAATAGGTATGTAAGTATTTTCTGATAGTAGTAATTCTATTGACTCTCTGTGGGATTTTTAGGTGTCCGAAGCTTGTAAGGGACAGCAGATGAAATTCTTTACAGCAGCTGGACTGGTCCATTTGCATGCCCATTACTAATGGCTTTAACACTTTTTTTAAGACAATAGAATTCATTTCCGAATTATGCTTGATTTTGATTGGTTCCGGAAGTGACTCATTTGACGATAATCCCTTTTACTTTACCTATATTTTTTTTAACCTGAATTAAATATGCTATGCATGATATACCTTTCATAGACTGACGAGGCAGATTTTTTTCCTGCAGTAGTTTGTGATTTCTTTCTGCAGAATACCAGTTGCCACCCAAAGCTTTTGCTGTTTTTTACCCATAGTTGGTGGGAGAAGAGGAGTCGCCTGGAATTTGAGTTTAAATTCCAGCTGAATCTATTACATTCACATATGTGCTAATACACTTGGGAAAGGTATGAATCTTTTTCTTCACCTCCCAGTAAATAGCATGACTATAGACTTGGATGGCAGCTAGTCTACTGCAGAAAGAAATGGCAACCCTCTGCAGAAAAAAATCTGTCTCGTCAGTCATATATTGAAAGATACATGATCGCCTAAGCGTGTATCACACATGGCACATAACTGAACTGAACCTGAATTAAGCAAGGATAACCCTGATTTAAAAACTGGTTGGGTGTGGAGCTAGCAACACCACCCATTAAAAACCTACTTGCTATGGAAACCAAAACAGTAACACCCAGCATGGTGCAGCTGTGGCCCTAGCATGGTGAGACTGTAGCCTTATACTCCACAGGGTAGTCTAACGGTACTTAGAAAGATTTAAATTCACCAAGAAAAATCAATCAGTCACAGTCGACTGCAGTTGGAATCAGATTCATTGCAAATTCCAAAATTCTTTCATTATTTCCCAGAAATAATAATTTAAAAAAAATTTTTTTATCATATTACAGGTTGAGAATCCTTTATCCGTAATTCTTGGGACTGGAAATGCTTCAGTTTTCAGATTTTTTTTCGATTTTGGAATACAGGCTATTTAATTTGGATATAGCATCTATAAAATGGAACCCAAGCATAAACACTGTTATATTCCATGCTAATAGGAAAATATACTTGAAAAACACAATAGATAAAATAAAGGTTTAGTGTAAAAACCAGTACAATAAGAATAAAGGTACAGTTATGCACAAGGTCGTTGGAAGTCAATACAGTAGTGAGTATTACTATTAGGTCAGTAGTTCTTGCATAAGTCTGTCATACTCAACAGATCCCAGCTAGACAGTATCTAGTAACTGCCCTATGCAGTCACATATGGCACAAGGCCAAATTTAATGTGGGGTTCCCGAGCCCATTGGCTAGGCCAGAAAATCTCTGTAGACTCTGCATAAATGGGTTTGGGTCTGTCTACCTTCCTGGATGAGACTCTACCCTTCGGCATAGCCTCTTCCAGGTTCCTCTCTGCCTGAAGGCAAAGAGTTCAACAGCACAGCTGGAACAGATCCCAGGCAGACTCAGTAGTCCGTTGACTTACAGATATTATAGGTAGTTACTACCTATAGTGTAGTCACTCATGGGGGTGACAGGTTATTCCATTACATCAAACACGATATCCCTTTACATTTCATAACACAGCTTATACATATACCCTAAAGGTAGTTTTATATCAAATTTAATAAATGTTGTGTATATGCAGATACTGGTAATGATGCTAGTCATGTAATGCTCACATGAATTTTTAAGTGGTGAAATTAAGATTTCATGTAAAAATAGTGTTTTTTACTTTTTGTTCATGTACAGAAAATATGATCACTACTTACAAAAAATATATAAATGCAGGACTTTTTGATATTATTTTGAATAATATCCTTAATGGGCACAAAATACATGGTAAGTAATTCATGAACGAAGGTGTTGATGTGATAATTGCTAACAAAAAACTGGTGCCATCGTAGCTCAGCTAGGGAACCCCAATTCAAGGCAGATAAGGTCACTTACAACAGCTGCACATCACCTAAGAACCTTCCCAATACTTTTTGTCAGTGTCATGTCAGCACCTGAAAAACTTTCAAATTTTGGATAAAGGATACTTAACCTGTACTATAAATTTAGCACTCCAGATCACAAATATATATATATAAAAAATTCTTAATCTTATAAAAGTTAATAGTAGTGTTCAATTTGCTATTCATTGTCAACTGATCACCCTATGGAAGCCAAACCAAAATATGTACATAACACTGGATTTCTTAAAATTTAATCAAATAAAAATGAATTTTAAATATATAATCTGGGCTGTCTAATCAATAGTAATATAATAAAAAAAAATAAGCACCCTCAGGACAAAACTTGCTCATACCCCTTGACACTTCGCCCTATAGGGATATCTCAAATGCCAGATCATGTTTCTATTCCTCTCCTGAAGGTGAGATAATGCCTGGGGGGGGGTATGACACCTTGAGTACATGATTTTTTGAGTACATGACATTTTAGGCACCTGGTCCAGCTAGGAGCTGAGGGAAGTTAAAAAGTATATAAATTGGTATTGTAACATTCTGTATGCTAACTAGATATTTGACTTAAATACTATCTTTTATACCAGTTGATGAGAGCAAAAAGACAGAAAATTCTGATTGGTTATAAAACCAGTTTTGTCCATGAGGCTTTTTGATTGGCCAAAATGGGAACTTGGTTGGAACATTGTTTTGTCTATATCTGGACTGAGATGAAAGTATTTGCTAAGGAGTAGGGTAGGAGAGAGGCGATGACTTTCTAGATGAATGATAGAAAATCTCATAACAAAATGATGTTTGTTTTATGCTATATCCCTTTACAATGTTGGTCATGGCTCTCCAGAGATTCTTTCCTTTATTATCTGTGAATTGCTATGGCAATGGTAATGATAATATTAGCTGTTTCCCTATAAGGAAACATTTGGCTTTTATCAATCAAGCAGCAAATTTCAGTTGAAATTTATAAAATCTTATAAAAAATAAATAAATTATTCAAGAAAATAGGTTTCTTAAGTCCACTAACTTATTACTCTTTCCAGTAACGATGAGAGTTTCCTTCCTAACCTTTTGTTTGAAGTAGTGTGGAAGTCAACATCTTGATTATTGCTCTTTTAGGTATTGTTGGGAGTTTCCTTCCTAACCTTTTGTTTGAAGTAGTGTGGAATGTCAACATCTTGATTATTGCTCATTCAGGTATTGTTGGGAGTTTCCTTCCTAACCTTTTGTTTGAAGTAGTATGGAATGTCAACATCTTGATTATTGCTCTTTCAGGTATTGATGAGAGTTTCTTTCCTAACCTTTTATTTGTAGTGTGGTTATACCATTATTTTCTCCTTGAGTTATATGCACTATCCATTCTAGTTGTTGCTGCTTTTGAAATTCTTCAAATGACATGGTTTCAGTTATTTGGTATGGTTCTTAGGAAAGATAGCAAAGTGGTTTCCTGTTGCTTTCACCACAATCCTGAACTCAGAGTTATCTTTCTCCTAGACTATCAAGGCAAGAGGGCCCAGTTTACCTGGCTATTTAACACATAACTGGTGGGTAGGAGTCAAAAGGAATTCATGCTTTTCTCAAAGGTGTTAGTGCAAAAGTGTATGCAACAGGCCAGACTGGAATTTGGACTTGGCTTGTCAGTTTCTGTTTTCTGGGCCATTAATAATTATATGACCCTCATAACCATTGCAAAAAAAGTAAAAGAGTTTTTTTTACTTGTGATTCTTACCACTTTTCTTTACGACCAGCCGGAAATCATAATTTTGCGTTTCCAGATCTTTCCGGTTTAATTGAATCTTCATGATGCTAGTATCACTACAGACTGAATTGCCTGGCACGGAACTACACGAAAGGACAATCTGCAAAAGACGAGAATATATGAAGACTTAAGAATGTTGGCAAATCATTGTTATCTAGAAAGAAGTTGCATCAATTTTTAATGTACAATGTATGTTTGGAAAGTATGCAGTCATTTAATAAAAACATCAAAATGGACTATCTAAAGCAATGTTTCCAAAATGGTGACCTCATAGGTGCAGTGGAAGAGGATAGGAGGTGAGGCGGAAGTGGATAGCAGGTGAGACAGAAGAGGATAGCAGGTGAGGCGAGAGAGGATAGCAGGTGAGGCGGGAGAGGATAGCAGGTGAGGCGGGAGAGGATAGCAGGTGAGGCGGAAGAGGATAGCAGGTGAGGCAGGAGAGGATAGCAGGTGAGGCAGGAGAGGATAGAAGGGAGGTAGAAGAGGATAGCAGGTGAGGCAGGAGAGGATAGAAGGGAGGTAGAAGAGGATAGCAGGTGAGGCAGGAGAGGATAGCAGGTGAGACAGAATGATTAAAAGACAATCAAAGATTTAGTAGCAAATTCAAAAAAATTCATATGTCAAAAATAAATATGATTTCAAAATTTCAAATATTGTTATGGATTACTTGTAATTGCATGCATGAGTCCCAGTATAAATAGTTATTAATAATTATTGACTGATTTTATCATTGTAATATTTTTGTATAATATTAAGTATTAAGGATATAGGAACTAGGTCTGCAAATTGGAGGAGAGAGTTATCAATGATAATGTTCTGACTTTTGAATTCGCAGTTATCTCCCTTTAACCCTCTCTCTGTTTTTTTAAAATTTTTAAATGTACTTTTTATCACATAAAATTTGGTTATGTGTGAGCAAATTTTAATTCTGAAAATGTGGCCCAGACAAAAATGGTGTGGGAACCACTGCTCTAAGGCAATGATACTTCTCATTTTAGGAAGTCACACAATTATCCCAGTATCTCTACTACAGTTTTTTTTATCATTTCACAACAAACAAGGCAATAAAGCCACTAACAAACAAGGGGGTTACTGACTGTTAGAGAATATGAAAAAAAACACTATTAAGGAGAGAGAACAATAAATGGACAAGAATTAAGAAGGCAGAAGATAATGATTGACATTACATTTAAATTTTTAAAGATCAAGATGACCTGGAAACAAGAACCTGGAAGAGAGTTCCATAAGCAAGAAGTGTAAAATGTTAGCATAGAACTTATGGTTACATCTAGCCATTTCAACTGTAAAATAATGAAACTTTGTTGCCAATCTAATACTGCACTTACATTCATAAAGTCTAGGTACCTTAGAGGAAAGGTCATCAGAATAATTACAATGAATCTATTTATAGAAAAGGCACAGGGAAGCTATGTTATGGTGATAGGAAGGTGAATGAAGCTGAGATGCCAGGTTAGGGGCAATAATATTGCAAATTCTTCTTTGTATTTTATCAAGACTCTCTAAATACATAGCAGAAGCACCAGTCCTGATGTGACAGCAATCTTCAAAGCATGGATGAATAGTAGACTTATAAATATGTAAGATATATTCTGGTGAGAAAATTTTTTTTAGCATGACACAGTGAACCAAGTTTCTCAGCAGTTGACCAAGCAGTTTTCAAAGCATTATGCAAAGTTTTTTTTTTTTTTTAACCATTTCACTTCATGTAAAGTGATAGTGCCACTACAACACAAAGGATTCCTGAGGATGAAAGAAAATGAAAAAGAGGAGAAAAAAAAAATAAAAGAAGAGGATTCAAGAAGACAGAAGATGGTGATTGCACATAAATTTTTGAAGATTGTAGGTGATAGGGAAGTAAGCAGTCGGGAGAGTGTTCCACTGGCGAGAAATGCAATAATAGAAACTAATAGAATAGAAGTTATGTTTGCATCTTGCTATTTCAGCAATAAAAAAAAAATGAGACCTAACAGCCAATCTAGTATGATGCTTAAATTCATGTGGTCGAATTTTCATGGGTTTGGCAGTTAAAGGTAAGATATAAGCATTTAAAAAAAAAAACATGATATTTATCCATTTTTTTTATTTGAGCATATTCATTTTGTCATCATTGTTCAGCAAATTTAATTCAAGTGTCTCATGTAAAAAAAAAAAAGAAAAAAATAAGCTGATGATAATTCAAATCCTTTGGTCATCATCACCATCCTACTGCTTTTCTAAGTGTGTCCAGTAAACAGTAGTCAAGTCAATTTTAAACTAAACACATACAAAACACCATATAATTCTGCTTGTTTCTCCATTAGTAAGTTAGTTATCATGTGTGTTATGCCCTGCCATTGCCTCTGATAAATAATGGACCATTATTTTATTGAGAGAAAAGACAGAAGAAATGTTTGCTTTTAGAAAAAAAGAAAAGAAGAGGCTTTTGTCTACTTTGGTGAAATGGAAAAATTTTATCAACTTTGAACTGTTTCATTTGTTCCCTTTTTACTTCTTAAAATAATGACCTGTATTCGTACTTATGATTTATTTTTCCATCTGCATTAGCTCAGGCCAATCCCAAGTTAATTAATTTTTATTAAGCAATCATCAGCCAATCAGACTGGATATTTTTATCCTAAATCAATCAAGGAATCAATCAGTCAATTAAGTAGTCAATTGGATTGAATTATTTAGGCAAAAGTCCGACCAAGCATAAAATAGCTTTCATGAAAATAGTTTTATTAAATTCACACGAAAAACTACACACACACAAAGACACATCTATTTAATATGCCACTATCTCTTCTTGCCAATAAACCACTAAAAAAATCAATGGTCAATGTGACCAGCTAGCTAAGCTGAGTTTATGCCAGCCTTGTAATGAAGGTATCTACTAATGTCTATAACTTTCTGCTAGAGTAATCTCCCATGCACTGGCAATGCCAGGAGCCATCTCTCTCTCTCTCTCTCTCTCTCTCTCTCTCTCTCTCTCATCCCATATACTCTAATTGTGGTGTATGGAGCCACATCCTCAACATGCTAGATCAGTGATTCTCAAAAAAAATGTTTAATGCACTTTCATCATATGTTTAGGTTTTATTACAATTCTAATCATCACTTTTTAAAACGATAAACATTGCTGAAGAGTGAAGGTAGTTAAAAAAGTAGTGTCATGGGAAAAAACGTCCTTTTGACACTTTGCCTTATTACAGGAACAAAAGTTCATGCTTACCAAAATTTAATTATGTTTCAAGAGGGATTTCAGATCACTTTATCTTGGGGAAAGTTATCAGTTGCAGAATAGCTTTCCACTGACGAGGACTAAGTGTGATGTATTCTAAAAGGGCACAACAAAGATAACATATTTAAAGGATATTACAGACAGCATATTTCTTTAAGGACTAAGTGTGATGCATTCTAAAAGGGCACCATAAAGATACCATATTTAAAGGATATTAAAGATACCATATTTCATTAAGGACTAAGTGTAATGCATTCTAAAAGTGAACCACAAAGATAGCATATTTAAAGAATATTAAAGATTACTATATTTCTTTAAGGACTAAGTGTGATGAAGTCTAAAAGTGAACCACAAAGATACCATATTTAAAGGATATTAAAGATACCATATTTCATTAAGGACTAACTGTAGTGCATTCTAAAAGGTAACCACAAAGATAGCATATTTAAAGGATATTACAGATAGCATATTTTTTAAGGACTAAATGTGATGCATTCTAAAAGGGAACCAGAAAGATACCATAGGGCTGCACCCTGTTCCTCTTGGGGATGTTAATGCAAAACATTTTTCTTCATCCTTTCTACTACTGCTTGCCTCCTTATATTTGCTTAAATTTCACTGTGTGGTGAAATTTGTGATGTATATTTTAGGTTGTTACATGTATTTGTTTATTTTTCACTGATAATCTCTGAATGACCTTGAAAAATAATCGTTGATAGCATTTTTTGTTTGTTAGTAACTTTGGTCATCCTCTGACACTGTTGTCTCATGTTATTGAAATTTAATTTCATATTAGAACCCTCCCCCACCCCCATTTGCGATGGAAGGCCAAGCAGACAAGAATGAGCATGTCCAACATCTTCTTCTATTTGTATTTAATCAAGGTCACAAAGCGGCCCGAGACATTTGTGCTTTGCACAGAGATGACTTATTAATAGAATGGCAGAGAAATGGTTTTCTGAGTTCAAGCAGAGAAAGTTTGAACCTATAAAATGTTTGAATTCTGGCCGACCTGTTCAGTTTGATAAAAACCAATTGCATGTGAGTAAACTGCTGACAAAGGAAGATGATGAGCAACAGTAACATGAAGGTTTGCCTTCTTCTCAGCCAATTCCCTAGTCATCTGTCATGGTTCTACTTTAATCTTTAACCTTTACACACACACACCTTCATTCACACTGTTATGTCTTGCATATCTCTCTGCATAGTAGTAGTCATAGTACAGTTCTCCATGTCCTGAATAGCAACCGGATTTGCCAGGCATAGCCTCCCCCCATGTTCACCAGTTGTTCTCTATTTATACTTGTCTATCTAATTTGTATACAATAATACACACACCTTTTTGTATACTTTTTTGCTAGTTTACTTTATAATAATCACTATACTTTCCTTTTGTTTTTTAAGGTGTTAGTGTATCACAGATATATTAATGCCTGTATTGGATCTTGGAGAGTAGAGAAGACCAAAGCATTTTTTCTTTCTTGTTAATAGAAACCAAATAGAATAATATTTTGCAAATAAGAAAACCTAAATAATAAGTATGGTGCCAGAAAACATTACACATTTGAATGTATGAAAAAGGACTGCTTTACACAAACTCCTTCATTCACACCTTTTGGATACTTTTTTTTAACTAGTTTTATAAATAATAATTGCTACACCTACCTTTTAATGTGTTAGTGTATCACAGATATACTAATGTCTTCAATGGATTTTAAAGAGTAGAGGTATTTTTTCATTAAGATGAAATGAAAAAAAAAATATATATATATATATATATATATATAAATAAATATATATATATAGATATAATTATTTATTTAAAAATATGATTCCAAATCATGACATAAAAGTCCCATGTATCAAAAACAAGAGCCTAAAACTTCAATATAATTATTTAAATCCCAAAAATAAGCTTTTTCCATCTTGAAGATGGAAATTTCGCTTATTTTAACTCAATTTAATTTAAATAATTATATTGAAGTTTTAGGCTCTTGTTTTTGATACATGGGACTTCTTATGTCGCAATTTGGAATCATATTTTTAAATAAATAATTATATTTATGCTCTACTTTTGTATTGAGCACTATTTTTAAAAAATAATAACTAAAATACTAAGGGACTTTGGATTATTTACCTAACCAGTTCCTTCCTATTTTCTATATATTTTCACACATATATATATATATATATATATATATATATATATATATATATATATATATTATATATATATATATATATATATATATTAGATACATGAGTTTTCTAAATAAGTTAAATCTTAACACCCTAAAAGAAAAAAAGATGGAATTTTCCTTAACCCCAACATCTCAAAATATCAAATTTGTCTGGACTTATAAATAAACTGAATCAATTTCTAAAAACTTATTCTTAGCATCGCTTGATAATGGAATGGAACATTGTATTTTAAGTTTAATTTTTATGATTGAATTTGAATTGAAGTTTCAGATCTAAAACATGGGAATTTCTGTGTTGTGATGGTTATATATTTTTAAAAAACAATTATAATATATATATTTATATATATATATATATATATATATATATTTATATATATATACATATATACATATATATATATATATATTTATATATATATAAATATATATATATATATTAGTAATAATCTATTAAATAATAGACACGAGTTAACGGTTTTTTGTAGGCATCGTCAGAAAAAAAAAAAATTTATATAACTTGTTTAACAAATAGCCCAATCATCAGATTCATAGTAGGAATAATTAACTACAAACATGCATACAACATAACACCCTTCATAATCCATAGCCCAAATTAGTAGTTTAAATACCTTACATAAAAGATAACCCTTTATGAAGTCGTCAAAAAACAAACGATACGAAAGTTTTTCTTTTCTTTTTTTATATGCACAATTCCCTTTCATAAGAAAATAAAATAAAATAAATAAATAAATATCCATAGACAAACAAACTAGACGAAGGTTAATACATCTTCCGTTTCATTTTTGACACCCCCCACCTTTCCCCGACTTGACACCTTGAAAGTATCTCTATACCGCTACTTATTATTAACACCCTACACTCGCCTACCCAATTTAGACAATTCGCCCTAGCTGTTACCATGGGGATTTTGATTTCAATTTTTAAAACAAGTAAATTTCAGATATACGTTATTCCAACAAAAATTTCGCTTGAAGATGGAACGGAGCCCATTTTCATTTAAACTCAATTTAATTTAAAGGATTATATTGAAGTTTTCGGCTCTTGTTTTGAAACATGAGACCTCTTATGTAGCGATTTGGAATCATATTTTTAAATAAATAATTATATATATATATATATATATATATATATATATATAGAGAGAGAGAGAGAGAGTGATAAATAAGATAAAGGAGAACATGATTAGGCAGCTTGTAAAAAGAGAACTGTAAGATTCATCCCTACATTGAATATCACTGCCTCATCTAATAGGAGTAGATATGTTTGCCTATCGCCAAGTTCATACTCCTCCCTAGCCTTTTGAACAGAAGTAGAGCTTTATCTCTTGTTTCCTGTTTAAGATTGGGTTTCTGTTTCCTTTTGAAGTCTTCGCATTCTCTTTCATTCTCAGTAGCCGTTTGTGTCTTAGTGACATTATCACCTTGCTTGGGATGAATTGATTAAAAAAAATATGGTTTGGTGCTCCTGTTTTATATCTTGAGATTCTTGACAAAATCCAAAGAAGAGTCTGTAATATTATTGGTTCTGACCTGGTATCTCGGCTTGTCACTTTCTTACTTCTATAATGTGGCTTCAGTCTGTCTTTTCTATAAATATTCTCATGGTAATTATTCTGATGAGTTTTCAACCTTGGTGCCTCAACCAATGAATTTAATCATACTACTAGGTTGGCTATTAGGTCCCATCATTTTACTGTTGAAATAGCTAGATGCCACCATAAGTTCTATTCTAATAGTTTCTTTACTTGAACTTCTCACCTGGGGAACTCATTTCCAGCTCCTCTACTGCCAGAAAATTTTCAAAAATTTATGTACAACACCAGCAAGCTTCTCTTTTTTAACCTTGTTCTTTTGTTACTCTTTCTTCTCTCTAACTTATTTTCATTTTCTTTCACTCTTAGTAAACCCTTGTGCCTAAGTGGCTTTATTGCCTTGCTTGTGGTAAAATGGTTAAAAAAGACATAATTCCTCTCCCTTTCCAAGCACATCAATATGGATATTATTTTGTTAAATATATATATATATATATATATATATATATATATATATATATATATATATATAGGCAGAAATCCTAACTTTTTTTCTTTTTAAGATGATAAATTTTATAAAAACAATCCAATTGTTCTTTTTATCTGAGTACTTTTGGCAATACATTTAGCCATTTTCAAAGTTGAAATATATTACCTGTTAACAAGAAATATTTTGTTGTATGTATGTATTTATATAATGCTTTCATTTTCAAAACACTGTCAAGATATTGTGTCCATGTTCATAGTTGATATTAATAACTGTTGGTTTTTTGCTTTTATTAATAAAGCTTCGGTTAATTTAAGCCTTTTTTTTGGGATGTAGATGATGCTGTTATATTTATGTTGTTAACAAGTATGTTATGAACAGTGTCCGGTAGGTCTCCATGAGTATTTAAATGAGACCTAATTGAGCTATGGTCAGAAAGGTGTAGTGTGAGTCTTTGTGTCAAACATGTTGTAGTGTGGCCTATATAATATTTATGAATTTTGATTGATCAGGAACACAATTCCTTAATGGGCATTTAAATGTGTAAATGATATTTGCCCTATTTAATTTTGTTATAAGAGGTGAATTATTATTTTTAACTATAAGGTTAGAGGTTTTAAATTTTTTGTAATAAATAATTAAACAAATTTTTTGCTATTGCCAAATGGTGTTAATAAAAATATAATTCTAAGGTATGCTACATTTATGGGTTAACGTGTTCAATATCAGGGATAGAGCATATGTAAATATAAGAGTGGGTACTGAGGTCAACACCCAGATGCAACAGCTTGTTTCATGCTTAAACACAAACTTCAGGCTATCTATATATATTTCCTCTCCCTTTTCGAGCACACCAATGCAGACACTATTCAGTTCCTTTTCAACTTTTACAAACACATGCCAACCCCAATCGCCGCAAAAAAAAATAATACTAATCCTTTAGGTTTCAGATTTTTTTTTGCTAAATAAATGATTTGTTAATGTTAATTAACTTCCTCAATTTTTACTTTTGTCATGTAAGCCAAATTAATTTGTTTTCAGCAATTATTCTTTTTTTTAATTAAAACAAAAACAAAGGAAAACCCTCTTACCTTAGGGTCTTCTGACAATTTGCCTGTGAAGACTTTTAAGTTAACATTACAATCATCCGTGTCCATGTTGAGTATTTTTATACATATGTATTGCCCTTCTGACTTGAAGAAGATTTCACACCGTGTCGCACTGTAACTGGAGGAGCCTTTGAGATTTGATGTAACTTGAAATGTAGTTCTTGTAACATCTAGGTACTTTTTGGAGTTACAATGTTGATAGTCAAATGAAACTGGAAATATAAAAATAAAGATGGATTATCACAAAAAGATTTGCTCTTGAAATGCATTTAGGGAGGAAAAATGTGTTTAATTCATAGTTTTAGTCATGGCTTTTGATTGGTGGTTGAGTTAATTGTCCTTTTCCCATCGGTACCAGTGTTTAGCATTCAAACCAAGTCCAAATGTAGAGTAATGATTTTAAGATAGGTAGGCTCTTCCAACTTGGTAGATTAGTGCTATCCAATTATCCTAGACACCATGTTTTCCTTGTGAACTTTATGAATTCAGTCCCTTTATTTCATTCTCTCTCTCTCTCTCTCTCTCTCTCTCTCTCTATATATATATATATATATATATATATATATATAAAAAGACATTTTTATGTTTATACATTCTTTTTATAGATACAAATATTTAAGTAAATGCTCTGTTTATAGTAAAACTATGACAAAGTGGAAAAGTTTTGCCGCCCATCTTTTAAAACTTCATTGGACAATGTCCTAAAGGCAAAAAACATGTCAAATGAAAACTTTTGTCGTTGTTTTCCCTAAAATAGTGCTCGATATATAAAAATTATATATCATTTTTATCCCATATATATATATATATATATATATATATATATATATATATATATTTTATATATGTATGTGTGTATATGCAAGTACATGCCCTTTTATTAAATTAAAGAACCTTGGAATATTGGCCATTGTGAATTTTTATGGGCTGTAAAATTATTATTATGTCTTTCCTTTTATTTCTCTCTATTTTTCTGTATATATATATATATATATATATATATATATATATATATATATTTTTGTATATATATATATATATATATAAAATATATATATAAAAGTGAACATAGAATTCAACACTTAGGGCGACAGTCTGTTTCATGCTATATGCAATTGTCCTGACGATTGCATATAGCATGAAACAGACTGTCACCTCTAAGTGTTGACTTATGTTCACTTTATATTTACACATGCTCTATCTCTGATATTGAGCACTTTATTCCATAAATATAGCACACCTTAAGACTATATTTCTTTATATATATATATATATATATATATATATATATATATATATATATATATATATATATATATTAATCAGTATCACCTAAGCAAGACAGTAATGCCATTAAAACACTAGGGGTTGCAGGTTGTGGAAAAATTAGAAACAGAAACAATAATGATGAGTGAAAAGGGTAATCAAGAAGACAGTAAGCAATTGACATTGCATTTAAATTTTTGGAGTTTAATGTTGGCTTGAAAGTATGGAACCAGAAGAGAGTTCCACAAGCAAGAAGTGCAAGAAAAGAAACTGTTAGCATAGAACTTATGGCTACATCTAGGCAGCTCAACTGTAAATTGATGAGATTTCAATGCCAGTCTAGTTCTGTGTTTAAATTCACGAACTCTTGATACCATAGCGAAGAGCTCATCTGAACAATTACAATATATATATATATATATATATATATATATATATATATATATATATATATATATATATATATATATATCTCTGTGTGGGTGCACATGTATGTTATGAAATATAATGAATTAGCAATATTTTGTAAATATTGTTTTTTTTGTGACCATTAGTTTTTTGAAATTTTAATGTTTCCTTTGTTGCATAATTGAATTTTTTTTTTTTTTTATAGAGGATGAGTTTAATTATTTCTTGTTTTTATGTGAGATAAAACCATATGTTTTGAAGTGATATAAAAACCTGTTTTTAGGTGATATAAAAACCTTTAATTTTTAGTTTTAGGTGATATAAAACCTATTAACCCTTTGACCCCTGTGTTTCTGAACAATTTTAACCTTTCTGCCTGAGCTCTTGAGTCAAAATTCACAAATAATTGGTATGTAATGTTTCACAGTAGATATAAAAATAGTTTACCCACCATTTAACCAATTGCTATACATTAAGTCATTTTTTCTACCACTGTTCTGTTTCTGTTCCACTGGTGGCTAGGCATTACAATTATGTTATTTTTCTCTATCACCAGTAAAGTGGCAGTCAGGGCTCAGAATGTTAACATTAACTATTTGTTTGTGTTCTGTAGACTGATCTTTTCAAATCCAATCAAAATTTGACCAAAATGGTTTATTCAAGTTTGCTATTTATTATCTAACAATCCATTCTACAAGTTGTCTGACACTTTAGTTCAAATGATAGTTTTAAAAAACATATATTCAATTTATATTTATTTGAATGGGATTGAGAATATACACTAAATAAATTATCTACAAAGATTTCACTTTAAAAATTTATATTCTTTTACACCCACAGATGAGGCCAAGCAGTAGCATAATGATTGAATTAAAATAAGCTTTTTGTTTACAAAAAAAGCAGTCATTATAAGAAGCATCACTTAAATTATTCTTAAAATGGCTGTCTTCAATAACTTTAATGAAAAACATTTTAGAAACTGAAAACCTTTTTATTCAACTAAGTCAATCAGTTGAAATACATACATACATACATACATACATACATACATACATGTGTGTGTGTGTGTGTGTGCGTGTACTAGTATGTGTGAGGGCAGTATGCAAAATTTCAGATAGAAAAAAGGAAAAGGACAATATTAATGACATTTTCCTTTTGTCTTTATATATATATATATATATACATATATATATATACATATATATATATATATGCTCTCGTCATTTCAATCCAGTCCTATTAACAAAAGGGTTATTCCAAAACAGTAGACGTTGGCGCTATTAACACATCGCTATTCATTAACAAATTGAGCACTCTGTCTGCTGGTGCTTGTATACATCCGTATATAATACATTAGAATTTCTCTTTCTCTGCTGTGCACCGATAGGATCTTTGACTGATGCCAAATTGGTCGGGTTTAAATCCCAGCTTGAAGCAATCAGATGACTAGCAACACTGATGAGCTGTGATACAGTGAAACAGGCTTGTATGTGGATGACTATATATATATATATATATATATATATATATATAATTTATTCAAAAATTATAATGGTGATGGTGTTGAATGCTATCACTTGATAAGATACCAGAAGTGTTGAAACAAAATGGCTGTTTTTGTAGAGATTTTATAACATATTTATATTATAATTTTCGAATAAATTGTATTTGCTCTACTCTGTATTGAGCATTCTTTTAAGAATAGTTTTTTATGTGTGTGTGTGTTTGATAATCCTTTCTATTCTCTAATTATCTTCTTGATGTTAAGTTGAAATTCATCAAAGAAGGTGCCATAGGTTTTGTAAACCCAAGTACTTTTGATCTCCTCCATGATCACCCACAGGAGTGAATTTCAAAGACAAATTTAATGTAACTCTGAGTGTTGTGATGGTGGTTTTTGTAAACACACATGAACACGTTCTGTTATAATTATTTTAAAATTAACTATTGTAGCTATGTTTAAGCATCCACAGTATAATATTATAATGTATTTGTTGTAGAGTAGTTTCACAGTGGAGGCTTGTATTTCACTAAGTCGGTCCTAAAATAGGTTCGACATACAAAATGTTAGGAACTTGATATAATAGGTAATGACACAGAGAAATCTAGTCGTGGTCGCTGATACTTTAGTATCTGACTAACGGTCGTCAGACATCGACTGAATGACCAACTCACTGAGCCCCTATTACTACTACTACTTATTATAGGTGGGAGAGTCTATTAACTATAGAATAGGTGTGTTCCACTATAACAGTATTTGACCAAAATTCAATGCCATTTGCATTTTTACCATCTCTGGTTAGCTCCCTTATATTGTGGGCACTTGCTTACAAAAAAACACCATAGCTACAATGGTTAATTTTAAAATAATTATAACACAGACTATTCACGCATGTTTACAAAAATCACCATCACAACACTCACAGTTCACCTATGAGGATGATCTTGGAGGAGATTGAAAATACTTGGGTTAACAAAAGCTACGGTGCCTTCCTTGTTGAATTTCAACTTAACATCAAGAGGCTAATTTGAGAACTAGAAAGGATTATTATAAAATTAAAAAGACATATGTCTATATTATTCTAAGATGCTTGCCTGACTTGTGGGTACAAAACACAGACTTTTGCTAGCTTTCCTTTTCAAGGTCTGAGAAAAGGCATGTAACAAGTTTCTAGACTTTGTTGGCATATTTTCTATAAAAAATAACTTTCATTTACATCCTTCCAACTTCTCCCTAGCCATTTTTATTTTTTTTAATTTTAATGCTTGTTTACCTATGGTATTCCTCATATATTTGATAAATCCAAAATGTGTATGTATTTCTGTACGAAAGGTAAATATTTTCTTGAAAATAAAGGTTTAACGTTTTGAATCACATATTCTGGGTTGAAAAGACTTTCGGAAAAAGTTAGTGGCTCTGAAAAGGGCCGTTGTATATCAATGCACACACGGTTCTTTGTCTGTTCATTGACTGTGGAAAGGTGTCTTTGGTGCTGAAAAGCTGTCATCATTCTTCTTCCTGTGTAAAATCTCATCATGTGGATTCTGACTTAGGATGGCCTGTAGAATCTGTAAAGAAGACTTCTAAATGTTTGCCTGAAATTTTGAGATGAGTCATAGTTAATATATATCTCAGAAATATAGACAGATACTGAGTCATGGTTAATATTCAGCAACTTTATTTCCTTTTTCAGTGAGTTATAATTACGTTTTTATTTTAGATTCTTGGCTATGTTCATCTTTTTGTTATAAAGCTTCTTTATAGCTCACTACAATACTTCCTTGATTATCCTGTCTGCACTGTGATTATCTGGACATAAAATGAATGTCGGTGATAACATTTCCGGGTTGGCAATGTAACTCATTTTGTGAAT